GTTTCTGATCCTTTTCTGTGGGTCCCCACTGGAAGATGCATTAGACTTGTGGCAGGCTTTTGGGCCTTGCTCTGGGCCAATCCTGCTTGGGTGGACTTTTACCCATGAGGGGATGGGTAACTTTGGGTGCTTGATTTAGAAACTGTTTTCTTTGCCTTTCCTGTATTGTTCCCTAATTATATCAACGTTCCTTTTCATTAAAGTCTCATATGTTTTGTGTTGATGCAGGGGATGGCAGAACCTATTTAGAGCAGGCAGGTTTGCAGGGTCTGGGGTGCCCCTCTCCCTGCCCTGTAACAAGAGTAGCAAACACAATTTGCAAATAACAAACAAATGCATTACTTTGAGAATCAAAAGCCCATGGACATTTTCTTTACATCTCACTCTGAGACAAAACTAAGGAACCTCCTTTCCCTCCCTAATTCTACATGAGCTCCAAGGGGGAAGGACCATAGCTGTTATGCTCCAGCCTGATTATGAGTTAACATACGGAAAGATTTGTGTTTGGCATGTAGGCCCTAAATAAATAGTCATTCTCAGCACCTACATTTATTAATAAACCTTGGCTATAGGAATGAATAAGGAATCTACTTTTGTGGATCTTATTACCACACCGTTGGAAATAATGATTATGGCCACGGAGTTATGGATCATAATTATTTTTAAGATTTATTTATTTATGCATACAAGAACTGGGGTACAGGCCAGAGGTGTGTGTGTGGGGGGTGAGAGGATTCACCAGAGACAGAGTGGGGAACAGAACAGGCATATTTACTGAAATACACTGCTGAGGGGAGCAGCAGGCAAGAAAGGAGAGGTCTGCTGCGCCATGTGGGTAGCTCCATGGCCAGGGATCCAACTGGTGCTGCAGTGGCTGTGTCATAAGTTGTGTCTTAACCCCTTGCGCCACCAGGGAAGCCCCCAAGCCCACTACCTGGAGCACAGTAATTACCAGATGATTGCACGGCTTCAGGGGCTGGAAAAGAGAGGCAATTCATGATGAGGTCCCCAAAGCCCCAGGACAATACAGTCCTGTTCTCCAAGGAATCAACAACCACAGGCCGGCTCTGTGATCGCCTTCCAGCCCTGCAGAGGGACCTCTTCCTAAACTTCCACCCCCAGGAATTCCCCTAATCCCAGTTTCAATGGGCGGGGAACAACCGGAATCTTTGTTAAGTCCGCCTTGTCCCGCCCCTCCCCCGGCCTCGCCCAGCCTGACGCCTCCCTTCCCCCCACGAGCTCCCTTCTCCGATGCCCGCACCCCATCCACCCCCGGCCGGGGAACCGCGCGCGCCGCGCTGCATTGGAGGCCCCGGCGGTCCCCGGGGCGCTCGGCGCGGCGAGGAGGGGGCGGGGCCTGGCGGGAGGGGCGGGGAGGGGCCTGGCGAGGGCGGGGCCTGGCGAAGGGGTGGGGCGGGGCCTGGAGGGGCGGGGCCTGGCGGAGGGGCGGGGCCTGGCGGAGGGGCGGGGCGGGCCGCGCTCGCGCCGAGCGGGGAGGACGGGAGAGCGGGAAGTCGACCCCCACCCACTCGCCTGCGCGCCCGCCCGCCCCCCACCCCTGCCCCGGGGCTGCCCGACGAGTAGGTGCCCCCGGCCTGGTACCGCCGGACGGAGGGGGAGTGGCCCGCTCCGGGCCGGCCGGCGCCGGGGGTGAGGCTGCCGGGAAGGGGCTGGGGGCGTCCGAGGGGCCGAGCGTCCCCCTCGGCCCGCCGGCCCCCGCCCCCCGCCTCCCCTCCCCCTCGCGGCCGGCCGCCCCGCCCCGTGACCCCCGGCCGCCTGCGGAGCCCGCCGCGGTAAGTGCCACTTCCTCCTCGGCGTCGGGGAGGCCGCTCCCCGCCCTGCCGCCCGGCCGCCGCGGCCGAGCCCCGCTGGGCCCTCCGGGAGGCGGCTCCGCGGCCCCGCCGGCCGGAGGGTGAGCAGGCCGGGACCGGCCCTAGTCGCGCCCGGGGCTCGAACCCGTGCCCGGCCTCCCCGCCGCGCGGCCCCACGCGCGCCCCCCCCCCGCTGGGCCGCCCGCTAGTTGCGCGAAGTTCCGGAGCCGGCGGGGGCCGGGGCCGGGCGTGGACGCTGTCCAGAGTCTGCCCCGGGCCCCGGCCGTCCTGCCCCTGACACCACCTGGAACGCGTTTCGATATTTTTTTCCGTTGTCGTAATCCTACGTTTTTATTTTAAGTAATTGCTTCAGCCCCCGGGTGTGGAGAGTCAGAAAGAGACTTATTTCAGTAAAAACCGGCCTGCCGGCTGCAGACTTTTTCATGGAGGCATTTCACTGCCTACTTTGGGATCAAAGCTGACGAAGAAAGTTTGCTGTGTCAAAGTTTGCCGTCTTTATAACGTTCCTTTTGAGTTGTGGAAATGTTTGGACAGTGGCTACACATCACAAAATGCAAGAGAAACACAGTCTCTCCCTACCACCCCTCTCCCCCAGCCGACCCATGTCGCCAGTTTCTTGTGCCTACTTCCCGAGAGGATGTGCGTGCAAATGCCCTGGCTTTAAAAAATGAAACATATATTAAGTGCCTCGCAGTTACTGGTGCCGGATAATTGTTAATTTTCAGTTTAGAAGCAGGTTAATAAGTCTTTTGGGTAGTTAGACCACTTTAAAAGGCGATAATGACCTTTTGAGCATTTGCATATTTGACATTGTGAAGGGGTGTGGGCTTTTTGACTTGTCCTGACCGAAGGCTTTTACAGAAAGATGAATGCACGCTGATGATTTTCCTAATAAGGCAGGTAAGGAAAAAACAAAATGAAGTGGTAAGAAGAAAGGACTTAATATATACAATCTGTCAAATTATCTGAAGCAACTTGGTGTTGATATAGTACGGTGGAGTAACAACAAAAGTAAACTTGAAAAAATTGAGCCAGAGCAGGAAAAAAATACAAAGTCAAACATAATAGCAAGTGCATACAGAAGACTCTGTACTAGAGGTGAGTCACTTGACTCGGGGCTGCTTAGCAGCCAGGAGAAGAGACAGAGGCAGAAAAGTGAACTCTAATTCCAAGATTAAAAAAAAAATTCTTCTGCCAAGGGCCTGAAAGGAAAATTTCTTCATAGGCTCCAGTAAAAAGATTGTGTGATGCAGCTGATATCTTTAAAATAGTCTTACAAAAATTGCAGATTTTGGACCACAATGTTCTTCAATTCAGGGCAATAATAAAATTCTCAAGATAAGTTCTCTGAAGGCTTAATTTGATTACTTCATAACTTTTGGAATTACCTAGAAAAATATTTCCCAAACCGTTCTAAGGAATGAGAAATTAATAGTTTATTTCTAGAACTAAGGTTCTGAGCTCAAATAAGTTTGAAATAACTGAATAACACAATTTCAGTAGCTTTCTTTTTACATCATTTTCCAAATTTATTTGACTGGAACATTTATGAAAACCACTGAGCCTATAAAATGGATGGGTTGGCAGTCTTTCAGGCAGTTCTTCATGAATATTTCTTACAACTGAAGTTGGATAAGAATTGGAGAACAAAGAGTTTGGGGTTAGCCTGTTTGGTAGGGACCAAACCAAAGATAATCTAAAGTCAGGATTTTAATATACAGTATATCAAAGGAAAGGCTACTTTCCCCCTGAATTTTTCCATAAGTCATTCTTCTTTTTTGCAAATTGTCTACTGGACAACCTCTCACCCCCAGCCAACCAATATTGCCAGCTTCTTGTGCATCCTTCTGGAGATGATGTATATGCAAACATACTTGCTTTTAAAAAATGTAAGAAACATCTATGCTAAGTGCCTCGAAGTAAGAGGGGCTTCTTTCCTGTTCTGTGCTTCAGAGAACTCAGAGTCTTGAATTAGACTGTGTTTAGATAAGTAGAAGTCCTTAAAGAATGACCTTAATTATTCTTGAATGTAAATTATTCTTGAACCACTCTGATTCTGTTCTCTTATTTGTATGATTAGAATGATAACATTCATTCATTCAAGAGATATTGAAAGTCTAATATTGAATAGATTCTTGGTAGTAGAAAACCAGCTCTAAGGGTGCATGAAATGATGTATCAAGAATCTTTCACTGTGATTTTTTTTTTCCATTCTTGAGTACAGATGACAAGAGTTTGGAGGGCAGGAAATACCAATTTATCCAAAATTACTTGTTTCTGAGCTTCAGATAGCAAGTAGTGAGAGCTGAGAGAAGGAGGGATTGGTCCAAAAGTGTGTCTGATTTTCGGAGTTTGGATAATGAAGGGGGCATATAATAAAGCAGCCTGTGATGCAGTGCTATACAAAACATTACTATTCTGAAGATAAATTGAGAGTCAGAGCTATTCACTGTCTTCACTCCTTGAGGGAAGGGTTTGCTGAGTATATCAGGTCGGGTAAATTATGTAAAGGTAATACAAAACCATCACATCTTAGTGGTTTCAGACAATAAAGATTATTTCTCAATTATAGTGAATGTCCAATTAGAGTTAGCAGGAGAACTCTGTTCTAGGTAGTTATTTGGAACCCCAAATTGTCAGAGGCACCATCTCAAAACATGCTTCCAACAATTATTAGGACAGGCGAAAGGGTGTGATAAATTACACATTGGCTCTTAAAGCTTTCTACCTCGAAGTGACATTAACTTCACTGCCCTGTCGTTGGCCAAGCAAGTCATGCACACACACAACAAAGAAGATGGAGAAATACAATTCTGTCGGGTGCCCAGAAGGAGGAAAACTGGAATAGTCTGGAAACAATTACTTTTTTTAATTGAAGAAACATTGCAGTATAGCATTTATAGACTATCCTCATGACTGCTGCACTAAGGAGGCATTACTGTCCCATGAACTAACACAAAGTCTGAATAACTCAAATGCAAATTATGTATTTCAGTATTCTCTTGAAGGAAAAGAAAATACCATTTCTTTTGTATGTATATATGTGTGTTTAATCATAAAATTATGCTAATGAGAATTATAAAGAACATCTTTACTCATTGGAAATGAAATTATTTTGAAATAATAAACTTATTAATTTGGATATTATTCTTTTGGAAAAATGTGCACATTCAGTACACATTTCCAAGTGTGATGTGTATTACACACTGTGTTAGATTCTGTGAAGATAAAAAGATGGAAACTTTACAGCCTTAATATAAAATATCTCTACTGAACTTTCGCTTCCCCTTTCTCTTTAAACATTAACAGAATCTTTCTCCAATATGATAAAAGCTAATTGTAGATACTGTTATACATTACCCCTCACCCCCTTTTTGGTTTTAGGGATTATTTGAGGACTATTGAAAATTAAGCTCTTTTAGCTTAAGCAAATAAAAGAGTGTTTTGTTAGACAAAGGATATAACTTTATGTCACAGAGTCCAAGGGCAGAAAATGCAGCTACGTCTCAGTGGCAACAGGATAATTCAACAAAAAGTTAGGAGTTGAAGCTGCTTTCCTTCTCCAAGTCTTTGTGACTTCTTCCCAGTTTCTTTCTCTGTCCATGTATTTCATTCTTCTTATTCTGTTGACTGATTTTCTCTGTTTTGCTTTTATGTAGGTGTTGAAACCTAAGATTCACACACCTAAACTATCTGAGACCTCTAGTAATTCCAGAAGGATGGATTTTTTTTCCCCTAAGTGCCATATCTTCTTTTTTTTTTCTGAAGATTTATTTATGCATACAGGAACAGGTGTACAGGCCAGAGGTGCAGGGTGGAGGTGTTGCGGTGAGAGGATTCACCAGAGACAGAGTGGGGAACAGAACAGGCAGACTGGCTGAAATACACTGCAGAGGGAAGCAGCAGGCGAGATAGGAGAGGTCTGCTGCACCATGTGGGCAGCTCCCTGGCAGTCTGGGCATCAAACTCGTGCTACAGAGGCTATGGATACCTTCACAGTGCTGTGCTTAAACCCGTGTGTCACCAGGGAGGCCCACCACGTCTTGGTTCTTAAATGAACCATTGTCCAAGTTTGGAAATAATGAAGTAGTCCCTAAGATACAGCAAGTTAGAGAATTTGGCGATTGCATAATAGAGGAGGCAGTTTTAATCGGTTAGGATTAAAGAAATTTGTGATGCCTTTCCAAATTCTACTACAAAGCTATCCTCAGGTTGCAAATTCTAGTGTGACAGACTGATTAGGATAGTCAGGAAAAGAAGCTAAAGCTGGAGCTGACTTGTGCAAACAATATTCCCTCTCTGAACACTGGCAAGAGCTATCTCCATTGTAATCTAAGGTCCAAGTTACTGAATCTAACCCTAGTAGTCAGCTGCCTTTGATCCCGGTATAGGGCCTCTGGCTAATAATGAAGGAAGAAGGGGGCACTTAAATGTACTGCCTGGCTCTGCTCTTTTCTGTAATCCAAATTGTTCTAGACGCTCTATCTGGACATTTTATTCTGTTGCCATCTGTCTCCACTAAGTTAGTTTTAGGAAATTTCCACTCTTTTTCTGTAAGTTATGTACAGTTAACTTAGTTAGCCAAGTTCTCTTGCATTCTTTACCTATGCAGTATACTTTCTTCCCATTTGAAAAATATCCATAATTTCACCTCACCAAATGGCTAAAGGAATGTACTATTAGGAGGTAGTAGGTGTTACCTCAAAGAGGGGATCTCCAGGAAAAAGAATAACAACAGAGGAAAGTGAGTAAAACCTGTGTGAGATTAGGTGGGATTTGTCAAGGATGTATGTTAGGCTAAAAATAGACAAAAGGAGAAAGGGGATTGGATTCACATTGTAGAACATCTGGAGTGTCCTTCTAAGGCATTCTTGTACTCTTGTTGCCATGCAAATGAACAGATCTTCTTAGGTTCAAGGAAACCTTCAGACTCACAAAACAACCATAGACTTGTTTACTCAGAAGGCTATCAGCCAACAAGTCAGCAGCAAATGTTCCTCATCAGTAGCTGTAATGCTCACAGCAGTCTGCGTAAGCAGTTCATGTAGCCATCTGGGAGACAGCTCTCTAAGTTAAAGCTCAGGCTCAGGGAGACAAAGCTCGTATGAGGTAAGTTGCAGTTAAAATCCTCATGTTCCCCCAGGAGACAATCTCTTCTATTACTCCATGGACTTTGCTCCCAGGGCCCCCACAAGGGAGATGCCAGTTATATGAGACATCACACCAAGAAGTCAAAGCTTTGGCTTCCTATGAATTATTTATAGTTACTTTATCATTCCTCTGAGTCCAAGTGCAAATTTTCTAATCAGGGGGATCATTTTTACAATAAGCAGTGTTCCTTGATAACATCTGATAGTTGACATCTATCAGATTGCCAGTGGACCAGAGCTGAGAGTTAACTGAAGGTTAAATGCAGAAGGAAAAAGACTTCCTTAACTCTGCTTGTAGGGGCAGGAATGGGCCACTGAGCAGGTTTTCTGATCCAGCAGACCGGGCAAAGGAGGAGTCAGAGTCCTCAGTGGTTTTGCAGGTCTTTTATTGGGATTTACCCGGTACACAGCAGGTAAGGATGCTGGAGGGCCGAGAGGCTAGCAGGCCTCCCAGCCCCCAGCAAGTCTTCATTTTATCTGGGCTCTCCGGCCTTGTCTCAGCTCCTGCTTCTCTTGCTTCTCTCTCGGCTTCTCTTTTGGCTTCTCTTTCAGCTTCTTCTGGCGTCCCCGTGACACCGCCCTTAAAAAGCACAGTCTTAGCGCAGGTGTACCCACTTCAGGTGCCCGCCATCAGGCATGCATTCAGGATCACAGGGTTCCCTCATCTATCCTGATGGCAGGAGGGCAGAAAAGCCTGATATTTTTCCTTACCCTACACTGTTCATGCTTGTATTATCTCATGTCTTCCACAGTCCCTTTCATTTGGAAAGTATTCAATAACATTTATGTCGCTTCCTTTGATACAGTGTGTTTTAACTCTGACCCAAAACTGTGAAATCCAAAGAGGAATTGAGAGGAGGGCCAGGCTGGAAAGGTAGGCATTGTAGATTGTTAAAAACACTGAATTCCAGACTAAAGACCTTGACTTTTATGTTTCTTGTAGGTGATCAAAAACAAAAAGTTCTAAGAAGAGTAGTATGGTCAAGAAATGCAAAGCACTTTGGAAGGTTAGTTTGGCTGCAGTGTAGGGAATAGATGAGGGGGCATTAAGACTTGAGGCTAGCTGATTCATATCTTCCTAAATATTTGCCATTCTTTGGGGGTAGATATTTCTGTTATGCAGAAAGAAGAACACTCGTTACTATCCTCTATAGGACTTGAAATAGTCGGACAGATTCAGGATGGTCCTTTTGAATGGATCTGCATCAATTTGTCCTAATTTATTTGTTACACCCTCTTCCACCCCCAATTACAGATTGGGAGTTTGTGAGGACTACCTAGAACAGCGTTCTAAGAACATTGATTTAAGACTAAGAAATTTTAGCCTCCACTGGTCTCCACTGATCTGACCCACTGGCATGTCTCATTTTACTTTTTTGTTGGAGTTAAATTATAAAACAGTTTTTGGGTAGCTTTTTTTTTTTTTTAGGTCTAGTTATAGGGCAAGCCAGTGTGTTTCTTTAATGGTTCACTGGTTTAATTAACATTTGTAGTGATTAACCATTTTTAATTACAAGCAGCCGAGAAACAGAATGCTTCACATTTTTCTCCTCTATGTTGCTTTCATTATCCTTTCCTACCCTGACTTAATGCAGTTCTAAAATAAACATACAATTTATAAAATCTGATTGGTCCTGCTGTAGAATCAGGTTGAGTTGTGATTGGCTCATTATGTATTCATAGAAGTCAGGCAATTTTGCTTGATTATGTTTGTGCCTAGAGAGTACTGATGGATTACTTTCCCCCACTCTGTCACCATTAAGCTTTATAGAAGACAGAAATACTGGACTTGGTTCAGGTCAATAAAAGACAAAATTATGGTTATCCAGATTATTACTTTTTATGACACATAAGATGGTTGGGTATCTCAGCACTTGCCAGATATAAAGGATCAGGCAGGAAGTTAGCAGTGGTTGCTATCATTTTGTTACTACAGTTTTCATCCATGAGCCACGGCAAATATATATTTAAATTCACAAAATCTAAGTAGTGGGTGGCAAGGAAATCTTTCCTGTTTTACCAGTCACCAAGTCACAGAGCTATTTTTAAAAGTAAATATTTTGCTATAATCATGCAGCAATTATCATAGTATCAACTGTGATAAATTTTGTGGATGAAGTTGGGGATAAAAAAGCTATGTAATACTAAGTTAGCTGGTTTTGTAAATGATGCTTGCCCTATTACCAGATATAGGTCCTAGAGGCAGGGATGGAAAGGTACGTTTGATGTCATGTGGGTCTGCACTTTATAAATACTGACAGAAATTGAGAGGGAATCAAGTTGGAGGAAAATATTATGAGATGCTGGTACTTGGTGAATAAATGCCATTTTGGCATTTAATTGCAATTACAATAAACAATTATATTTTGTGCTGCTTAGAAGTTATGTGTCCTTTAAGTACTCTGCTTTCCCCCTCTCTTAATGCCTTATTTCTCCTCAGTTTGGTCAACTGAGGTTAAGAATTTCAGTCTGTTCTACTACTCTTTCCTGGATATATAACTTTGTACATTTCGACTCTATTCTGAATCTGCTTCCTCATACATGCAATAGAGGTAAAAACGTACTTGGCCTCCTTACAAATTGTGAATTGCAAATGAGAATATTTTGAAAATAAACTGTGTGTTATAATTGAAAAATATATGGTATTTAGAATCAGTCCTTGGTTCTAATTGAACCCTGGTACTCACAAAGTTAATGTAACCCTCACTATCCTCATCTGTAATGGGGGAGGGAATATTTATAATAATTTGTGTGAGACAACTGAATGCCGCATTCTATTAGAGTATTTTACATATGCATGTTTAGGTACTCAGGAAGTAGTAGCTTCCGTTATAAATCCAACTCCTTGTTCAATACTTGCATGTCCTTTTTTTTTTTTTGTATGGGAGAACTAGGGTATAGGCCAGAGGTTTGGGAGGGGTGAGAGGATTCACCAGAGAAAGAGTAGGGAACAGAACAAGCAGATTTACTGAAATAAACTGCTAAGGGGAGCAGTGGGCAAGACAGGAGAGGTCTGCTATAATGTATGTGGGTTAGCTTCCTGGCAGGGGATTTAACAACCCTTATGGGCAGTAGCGCTGAACTTTAGGCCACCAGGGAGTCCCCACATATTCTATTTAATCTTATTTTACTGAAGAGAAAAACCAAAGATAAAAGAGGTAAAGTGATTTGCCCAAATTATACAGCTAGCTGGTGAGTGACTTAGCTATCAACTCAGGCTTTTTCCGTTATATCACGTAGGCTACTATTAATTAGCAATAATGTGGGGAAATGACAGCAGAAGCACTCTCAACCAACTACCTCTGAACTTGCTCGTAGTTTAACCTAATACTCCCTCTTACCTCTGCAAAATGTGCTTTCTGACCCAAGGCCACTGAACAAACACTCATGACTTAAATAAGTTGTTCCACAGTAGACCCATACACCTCTTTGCTTACCTGTTAAGTACTTACTAAAAGTGTTTTAGTGTTTTTGTGTTTATTTACCATCCTGTGTTTAACAGATATGCTGGTTACAGTAATTCAAAATATTAGTAAATGTGAAAATTAATGAAACTATAAAGAAGAGCAGTCTATGAACGTTAAGTGGACTGCTTTGGGACATCTCAATATGAGTTATTAAATAAGTTACTATGAAATCAGATGATGGTTTTATAACTATAAAAGAGAGAGAGCTTGGGTGAGGGGGAATCATCACGGTGTGAAGCAGTGCCTGTGAAAGTATCAGTCATTGCCCAGCTAACAGGTCTGTAGACTATTGGTAGTCTGGAGCAAATAAGGAGCTTACTCCGGAATGTAAACTAACGATGTCATTAAGTACACTGTATGGTTTAGTTGACATTTTTTACATGGTAAGGCTTTTCCTCGAAGGGAATAGTACATTAATTTACATTTCTGGCATGAGTTTTTTAGACAGAACACTGGTCCAATGGGTTTTGTATTCATATTCTTTCAGAAGTGCTTTTAAGTTCTCTCTCCATTTATAGATACCACAGTGGAAGTCATAGGTCACTGTGGACATGGCTAATGCAAGAAAGAAGACCCCCCCTCACTAGGGTGACAATGACCGATATATGGCATTAACCCCATAGGAATAGATTTGTGAATAATAGCCATAATGTATCCAAGTTAAAATCCTTAAAAATATGTAAACCTCATTTTTACAACTACTGACTTTTTCATTTTGTGGACTATAAGTTTACCTGACAAGGGGGCTTGACTGGAAATATGTCTTTTAGTTTCATAACTATCTAAGCATTCTATACATGCCTCTGTTTATTTATCTTTACCATTCTATATTGCATTTCTGAGTTGAGTGTCAACTCCTGTATTGTAAATGCTAAAAAGTTCATGGTCCTTTCTGTAACCTTCATAGTTTCCAGTTTGGGGAGAAGACATTAAGTAATGAGATTATTGAGTTATCTGAGCAAGTAGTTTAAGATGCTGTATGATCTCAGCAAAGAGATAATTTATTGGTTTTTTTTAATTTTTTTTAGTCTTTTTTTTTTAGTCTTTTTTTAAGATTTATTTATTTGTTTATTTATTCATTCATTCATTCATTCATTCATTCACTTATATAAGCACTGGGTACCGTCAGAAGCGCAGGAGGGTGAGAGAATTCACCCGAGCCAGAGCAGGAAGCAGAGCAGGCAGAAGGACCGAAGTACACTGCTAAGGGGAGCAGCGGGCGGCCAGCGCTGCAGAGGCTGTGGGCAGCTTCGCAACCCAGCGCTCAACCGCTGCGCCACCGGGGAGGCCCCAAAGAGATAATTTAAAGGTTAAAATTTATCCCATTTTTTTTCACATTTATTGTAGATACCACTGCTTTTAGGGTACACAAAGAAACGAAATCCCTATATTAGATGACTTTTACTATACAACTACTTCCATTTTCATTGTGTATCAGTTTTTAACTGCCGAGTTTTCTATCTACCATGTAGCTTATAAAAGCAAATCTCTT